TAAAATTTAGTCTAATATATTAACTAACTTAATTATAATTATTTATTCTCAATTTTTAAATTATAAAAACTTATTTAGCTGTGATTCTCAGTATTAATAATAATTTTAACAATTATAAAGAGTTTTATTGTCAAGTTAGTTTATCAAAGTTGTAAATATTTTCAAACTCAATTTTATATTTTATTTTTATATTTTTCAAGATTTAAAATTTATTCAGTAAAATTATTCTCTTCAATCTAAGTCAATTTTTGTAAATCTATATGTAAATTTATTTGTGCAGTTTAGTCATTGAGTCTGTTGTAAGAAAATAACACTAAGATGAGAAGTCAATGATGTAGTTATAAATATTAATTGATAAAAAGCTGAATAAATAGATGTGACTAGATAAGACAGCAGATAATATTATACTCTAAAAATTGAAGAAGTATCTAAGTAATTGAGAATATAAATAATTAGATAGAGATTTGTATACACTTTTCAGCAACTCTGATAGATTGAGAATTAATCACTATCTCTTTAAACAGCAGATGAAATAGCTATCTATATAAAGTCTCTATCAATCTCTTCTTCTTTATAAATCTGCTAAGATGCCACTCTATCTGATTAAGAAAGTGACAATGTCTTTTACAAGAATGATCATCTCATCATCTCATACAAAGATGAGATGATCATCTCGTATAAAGGCAGCGTAACATGAATATCCTTAGAGGAGTAGTGGCAGCGCTGCAGAAAGATAGTTTCTATGAAATGGTGCCAAGGAGATATCTGTCTTTTGGCAAGATCTCGTGATCATGACATCTGTGAATAATAAGACTTGAGTATTAAATCTCAATTAGACGCACAGCTTCAGAAATTGAGAATATTTCTTGCATTATAATAGGATTTAGCACAAGTTCAAGTCTTCCCTCTGTCTCAAAAGAATTTGAAGACTTTTTATTGCGAATTGATGGCATAATTGTGCATTGAAGTGGACAAGTTAGATAATTGAAATATTTCAAATTGCTGTTCTCTCGGTGGGGAATTAGGCTAGTTGTTGATGATGTCATCAGCATCTTTGCTTTTGGTACCGTTTACCTCAGGAATGTAAAAGAGAGCAGTAAACCGAATGGATTTCTGCCTACCACGGAGAGAACCATAATGACTATTCATGGTTGTGCGCGGATCAGCTTATTTGTTCTATACGGAGTGCTCTCTGGCTCATAAAGGTGTTACTCATATATCCTAGCGTAGGCGCCAAAAAATAATACTCCTTGAAAAACTGAGGGACACCTTTCATTTCGAAAATAGCAGAGATGTTGTACTCCGTGTGAGTTTAGTTGGAATCTATCAGCTGATTTGCCGGGGGTAAGTAAGTAGTCTAACCTGCTGCTGCCAGCCAGCCAGCCAATAATTATCTTATGGATGCCCTCCGGAACCATCTGATGGGCTGGATCCAAGTGACATGTATCTGCTGGGGACAACTAACCATAGTTAGTTAAACTATTGTTAGTTATTAATCACCAAGGCAAAACAACCTGGGCACCTGGGCAGGCCGACGCATGGGCAATGTGACCTGGTACCGTATTGATACGGTAATCAAAGCATCAGCAGACTCGGGGACCCATCTGAGGCTTAGTTTACTAGTACACCAGTACGGTACTGTATCTTCCAATGTCATCACCCCCCCCACCCCAAAGTCTTTCCCTCTTCCACATCTCGCTCATTCTCCTTGTCCACTCTTTTGCTTAACATCCTTTGGCCGTCAACCAACTGCATCAAGCTTCCAACATCTACAGATCCTCCCAAAAACACGTATTCTACATGCCCTCTCGTCTTCTGGGCCCGTTTGTCAAGCAAGGAAGTTTAGAACAAAGGCGGCCTGTAGTTGCAATCTTCTGATTAACCACCCCATAACTACTTCCTACAAGACCTCAACCAACTTGTCTCCATCGATTGGCAGGCTCCCAGCGTATTTCGATATCTTCCTCAACAACCCACAGAACGGATCGTTGCCTCTCTCATTCATATCTCCGTAATAATTGATCTTTTCTACTTGCAGGAGCAGTGACTCCAACCCAAAGCAGCCAGGCGGCCTCAAGGTGTTCTTCGGCTTCTCGCGGCTAAAACAAGACACGGACAGGCAGTGCTCCCTGATTCTAAATTCTGGGCGATAGTAGCCGAGAGCATTTTCCTTCAGTGGGGAATACACGCCGGGAACGGCTGCTGGGGCGAACACTTGTGACGAAACATCTGTGGTGTGACGAGATCGTTATTTTCCCAGAGCTCACCGTCCCTCTGCTCCTCTATACTACTACAAAACACACGATCTCCTCTGTCAAGGAAAGAAAAAGCTGGACTTATTCTTTTAATCTGAAATCTTCACTTATCTCGCTTGAAGCCGCTTTAACTGCAGGCTGCATCTTCTACTGCTATCAATCTTACAGACTAGGCTCCTCGAAGACTAAGACCATTATCCAGAACCTTTCCAGGCTTCCTTTCTCTACCAACTGACGTGGACCGTAATACTGGTTGTTGCAGGCAGACGACAGTGGCTAAAGTTCTTTTTACGCAATGGGTCTTACGTACAATATCTACCTCTCCTCCAACAAAATTTTTGGATGCAAGACCTGCAAAACCCACTTAGCTGATTATCACGATATCATAAGTCGAGTTAGTATCCCGTCCTTCGTCCTCCCTGTTGTTAATGTGCTTCATAAGATCTAATCATTAATTGCCCCTGCTCTAATCTTGTAACATCTCATAACTAACAATCCCGATCCTTCCCAATCAGAATTTTCGGGGCCAACATGGCAAAGCCTACCTTTTCAGTAAAGTTGTCAACATAAACCAAGCCGAAGCCGTGGAACGGAACATGACGACTGGTCGACATGTCGTTCGAGACATTATGTGCAGGCAGTGCAAAGAGACAGTTGGCTGGAAATACGACAAGGCTTACGAGACAACCGAGAAATACAAGGAGGGGAAATTCATCTTAGAAGCCGAGCTGCTCTGTATGGTGTACTAGCAACCTTGGAAAGCTCGCAGGAGACTCCCGGTTTATTTTTTCTTTTCTTTTCTTCTTTTATCTTTTGTTCTAATTCCCGAGCACCAACCGGCTTTGACACCATGGCGGCACGAAGTCGGTGCGGCTTGTATGTTCCCAAACCAAACCCTGAATTCACGATTGCACCTGAACACAGCGTCACAACATATGGTGGCAAACGGGTTATTGGCTCTTCTTTTCTTTTTTTCATCTCTCTGTTTTGTTCATCCACTTTTAGAATCCATGCAACGGCGTCAATCGGTCTGGATTTGGGGAATTTCTTCCAAACGGGGGAAGGTGAACTGCGGCATTCGAGTCTTGATTGCTCGACAAATGAAAGATTTGGCCCTAAACCGCTTTTACTCTTTAGCATTGGCGCAGATATATATGTTATTTGTGTTCTCCTTTTTTTCACCTCCTGCATAAGTTCTTAATGTTCGACAGCAGGAAAGCATTCAAGAAAAGAGGGAAAGGATATTTCTCTTCTTAACTGATTCGTTCCATCCTTTTACTTTTTCAACTTTTTACTATCACTAGTTTCTTTTGGAATTTGCTCACGAATATCCCAGTCACCTTTTCTTCCCATCCCCCCCTTTTTTTGATTTTTTTTTTGGATTTCTTTCCCATTCTCTGTCTCTTTTAACATGCAAGAAATTAAATGTCTTGTTTCTTTCGATACGATCGGAACAAAATCTCCCCACTAGGATATGTATCTATCAGACAAACAGGTATTTATCTGCCATGTAGTAATTTCTCATCTACCAAACCAGTCCACTTTTTATTTTGCTTTTTGATCAATCTTTTGGAGAACCCATAACTTCTCATATTTCCTGCTGCTCTTGGGCGATGTGAAGCTCTCTCGCTTCTCAGTCCACTTCTTATTTGATTTTTAAAGCCACAGCCGATGAAATACATACATTTCCAAATTCCGATGAAGCTATTATATATTCTGAGGCAGTATAATATCTAAGCTGGCAATTGTCTCAAAATATGGGGTTGAGAGGTTGTAGATGGAGTTGCAGAAACAAAACCTGTTATCGTCCCAATTGGTAGTTATTAAACAACTTTCCCCTCCCGCGCACTTTAGCTGGCTTTTCCATGATTTTAATCGCCTTCTGGACTTCCGGCAGAAGGTTCCTTCATCCATTCCAGAAGGAAAGGAGGGAAACTAAAGAGGGTGGTTTATTTTGTAATTGCGATATTCCACTGTTATAATTCATGTTTGAAGCAAGTTATGTACTGCACAGTAACTACAATACAGCGTCTCGTCACTCCATTCTGCTCATCGCCGAAGAACATTCATTGACAGTTGAACGAACCGGCAGCTTCAAAAGTCTAGTTAGCTAGTTAGTTACCCGACCGAAACCGTAACCACTGTGAAACGGCCCTCATATCCTGCTACATCGTGAGACTAGGAAAGGGTATCTTGAATTTCTCCTGTGAGCACCCATATGGCAGTTGGAGGATGACATTGCGAAGGTCCATCCAGATGAGCTTAAGTGATACAAGAAAAGGTTGGATGTCAGGATTGTAAGAAGAGCCTCTCAGATGAGAAAGCAAGCACAGTCCTCTTTTCCAGAGCCTAGAAGATCATCACATCAGAAAAATCCACGGCAGCACTAAATATAGATTCAGTAAATAAGAGTCAGTGGATAATCCTTGTGTCATTGTTGTTTTGTATGCTTGCCTTGGCAGTATATCAGCCGTGCAAACTCATAGTAGAGGTATGAAATGAACCGCAAATGAACCGCAAATGAACCGCAGCGCTCGCCATCTCACATCGGAATCCTTACAGAATAGCGGAATACTACTGGGTTATATCCCAGACATGATACAGCCATGGCGCTAACTTCGGTCAATCACAGGTTGGTATTTGACCTCGTAGCTGCCCTCGCTTCAACCGGAAGCTTTTGTTGTCGCAAATTCCTGTTACGGCTCTACCAAGGGAGATTGTTGAGATCTCGCAGTGAACGCCGAAATGGCGGATCCTTTGAGCATTGCTGCCTCGGCGCTGACTGTTATTACAGCTGCCGTTCAGTCGACGAAGTCGCTATATGAAACTGTCAAACACTTCAAAGATCGCGACAAAACTTTACGTAGGCTTCAACATGAGTTTGAGGATCTCGCCAATATTTTGGACTCGTTGACACAAGTGGCCAATGCTGAGATGTCAATGTTGGCGCTTCTTCAAGGTCCTGTTGATCAACGCAGCCAAGTATGCCGCGAGTTCGAACAATCGATGAAGATTTTCAGTGGAAATCAAAGACGGGCTTTGAGATTGGACAAAGGTGGAATTTATGAGAGGCGATATCAATGAATTTATAGACACTATCGCAGGTTATAAGTCAACAATCTCAGTCGGTCTAGGCACTATTACCATGTGAGTTGCAACTCCTTGTCTCCTTCGTACTCTACTGATATCTTTTCATAAGGCATACCTCCAAAGTCTCCCACGAAGTTCTTCAAGAGTACAATGAGATGATTCAGGACACAGCATATAATCTTGAGGTTCACGTCCTCTCCATTGTTCACAATCTGCCCGTGCGTTATCCGTATATGGATGGTCTTGGCGTTCGCCCGTGCCAGGCCCTGTCAAAATTATGGTAGATATCAGCACGCATAATGATCAGGCAAGCAGTAGTGGAGCTAGGTCATTTGAATTGCGCGCTGAGCCAGCTGCGCCGCCAGCAGGCCAGCGGTCGATGTGTTAGGCTCTTTTGCTCCACTAATGGCTGTGGCATGTTTGATGACCTAATACCCGCAAAGCCTCACTAATGTGCCGGCTGTGGTAGACGCGCTAAATCTGATGAGCTTAATCCATGCTGGCCACACATCAGGAAGCTTCCCAAACTTCGAGCCTCCATTTTTAGCGCGCCGCCTAGCGCACCGACCAAGTTCTGGTTACGTCAATCAAGTTTATATCGAGCAACGAAAATAAGCTGTCACGCATTGTTGCTCACAGAGGCATATCATCTTCTGCTAGCTTCAGTTGACTTAGAAGCCCCACAGGGGTTTATCAAAAATTTCAGTATTTAGCATGAAATTGAAATTTTCGATATCTCAAGATATGCGATGATTGGGCGGATGGATAGTCACAAAGGCACATTCTGTGCTGCTATGGCGGACTTGAACCTAGGCAGAAAAGCGACAGCCACGTCTGTCCTAGTGGTGCTTAAGGTAAATGCGGACTCAGCCGGGCCTGTAACACAAGGTGAGGTCATTGCCCAATGGATATTATTGGTGCTGACCACAAGAGCCTGGTTCTGGCTCACTGCCCCAGCAGTCCAATTCATGCTAGACGACATTCAGTGGCGATGATGGCTAAAACTTCTCATATACCAACAAAGGGCTGAAAGACAACCAAGTGGAAGAAAAGAGACGTTGCTGAGTAGATAGTGGCTTGTTCATGAGTATTGTAGCACACGAGGAGATCTTGGCAATTAATCCACAACTTGACTTTCACAAGAATCGCTTCTGATTGGTCAATCGGTCAGCTGGCGTGAATCAAGTTCGGCACCCACATCACGATCTTTAGCGTCTAAAAGCATGCGCTGCTAAGCGGACTGGACCGGACAGGACACCCCGCATCACGTAAGATGTCATTGGTTGTGTTGATTGGCCAAGTTGCAGATACGAGCTTGTTCTGCTCAATGTGGCTGCCATAGGCATAGGACCGGACCGAACAGGACACGACATCTCCAGATGCGCTTCTGCCGCAGGTGACGCATCAGGGTTGCTTAACGAACAGGTACATGCTGGGCCGTTTGAGCGAGAATAACGCTCCAGGTGGGGTTGTGCAAAAAGGGCCTTCATGTGCTTATAGTCTCCAGCAATCCCATCCACTCAATCTCTCATTCATCTACCATTTTCGACGTTTTGCAATCTTCTGTGCCAATTCACCTTGATATCAGTCAACATGCCTGGAACGCTTCTCGGCTATGTCTTCAACAAAGCTCCCTCTAAGAGCATCCCGTCTAAATCACCGAGTCTGGCCCCGGCTTCAAGCGCCTCACCGGGGCCATCGATACGCAAGTGAGGAATCTTGCTCTTTCAAAGACCAAAGCGGCCTTTTGAGGGAGGCAAGCTCTTCACGGACGACGACATGAAGGCCATGGAACAGATCACCATCTCATAAGATTTTACTTCAAGCTCTTCCTGTATGGCCGCTAACTCTAAACAGCAACATGTCTCATGGGCGCGACGGTAACCCCAACGCCCACTACTCTGTGCAGGAAGAAGATGCTGGAGGCTCCAAGGTTAAGGGAGGACACGTTCAGGAGGATGAAACCAAGCTGACCGTGAGCAGTCATCCCGCATCCTTTTGTGTAATTACGATGCTGATTCCTGCGAACAGAGAACCAATTAGGCCCCTGTTTCGCGATATTGAGTTATAGTACTCAAGACAAGTAGGCTTGGAAGTGATGTCGGAGGAGCAAGGATAGTGTGTGCGATATCATTTTGCTGCATTCGGGCCTCAGCTGTTGTCACTCATTATTGCCCCTCATTTGCTGTTCTTGACAAGATCGTTGATAAGAAGTATTGAAACCACTATTAGAGCCTCCATTGCTTGTGTCAATCTGTATCTTTGAACCTCCATGGAAGTCCCATGAAACTCAGTTTCATCAGACTCTGACGTAGCGTCCAAATCCTCTAAAGGCTTCCAAGTTCCAGTGGCGAGGCTCAGCCCAGAGTAGATCTGGGGGTCCCTTGAGCCTGATTTACGGCGGTATTGTTCTTTTCAACGTCGTGTCAACAAAGGTAGGAGGAAAGAGAAAGGATGATGTGCAGCAGGACACAGGAACATACTGTTTGCCTATTGAGTGTTTTATACCGGGAAGAGTCTCAGCTCTCTACTTTGTGCTTCCAACAGCTTTTTCCAGAGCCAGAAACTCGTTCGATGCCAACACATGGATAGCAGATGACCTTTCGTCCGGGTTGACAATCAACATGAAATGAACCAGGTTCATCAACTCTATCGGCATATCCACCTTTCGCAACTCATCCTCCAGAACAGAAATCTGTTCCAGCGCTGGTGGAGGATCGTCGATGAGAGCTTTGGCCAGATTGAATTCGCATTGGCGGACATCATTATCAAGAGGCGGAACGGTCCAACTAGGGAAGAGCCGCATGAGTTTCGCGATGCACCATGACTCACGAATCATGGGTGTTGGACAGCCCCAGGTACCCAAAATTCCAGGCTTCATCCAGCAGAGCAACATTGCGGCGAGTGCCCAGACCTGCGAGGGTTGGGTGCAGGGCTGGCCTTGCCAGACTTCAGGGGCGCGCATGGCGTATGGTTGGGCTGAGCAACGAGAACCGGACCGAAATACTGCAGACATGTCAGCGTAAGCATGTTTCCGGCCAATCTACGCCTACTCACCGAGTCCCAAGTCTCCCACTTTCACGGAAATATCATTAGTGTCGATGTCAGAGAGCAATATGTTAGCGGGCTTGTAATCTGATCTCATTAGCGAATGCCATCCCTTGAAAACCAGGTGTTCCTGCCTGTATTGACAAGTTCTTCATTCGCCAGAATGATACAGCTCCCCAAAACTGTCTTTATAATGGCCTTGGCCATAGCGTATTTACGATTGCCAGGCCTGTATTCCACGTCAGCCAGTGTGGTCTCCAGCCATTCGAAAGCGGCATACGATATGCCGCCACCACCACTGTTGCCGATACTCGTGGGATCGCCGATCGCATCGTACATCTTCCCAAAAAACGCGCCTGATGCGATGCTAGGAAGGAGGTAGTTCTCACGTTCACGTTTCAGGTTCTCTTTAGCATGTTGATCATTTGGCGCAGCTGTTTTGATGAAAGCCCTGGTCAGAAAGGTTAGCCTTGGAGTTTGCAGACACTCAATGCAACATAGCGAACCATTGAGGAACATCAAGGACACCATATTTTGGTAAGACTTTGGCTTTGAAAGCTTCAGATTTGTGGTACCATCTCCCTCAAGAGCATCGATGAGCCGATAGTTCCATTTTGCTCCCGTAAGGACCTGTCCAGAGGTAAGAAACGACACGGTTCTTGATAAGACGAATGGTGCTGTTACTCCAGCGCGAATTGATTGAATGGTAAATTGCATAATTAGTGTTCCAGAGACAAACCAAGGAGAGCAAGGAGAGTGGATGGCGAGGTATGGATGCAGACGTCCAGCACGAGATCAGGGGTGCCATTATTGTTGGAGCGTATGCTTGCCTAACATTCGAGACCAGGCTAGGGAGCGACTATGTGCAAATATGGAAGATCACGTGGGTACCGGGAGCCGCATTAGTTAGTTACCTAACATTTTTGACTAGTTAACTAACGTAATTCCACAACGAGCGGGCCACCACACTGAGCGGACCACCAATTCAGAATATCTTCCAATTTAACTACTCATCCATTTCAACACACAATTATGCCACCAATTCACAATAAAAAGACTTCAAATTCTCTAGAGCAAGAGGGAAGACTTGAACTTGCAATAAATGCTATTAAAAAGCAAGAAATATCCTCAATTTGCAAAGCTGCAAGACTATTTAATGTGCCACATTCAACTCTCATCTATTGACTCCATGGCCAGTCTGCACATGTGAATTTATGTGCAAATTCACATATATTATCTTCTGCTGAAGAGGATAGGCTAGTTCAATGAGTGCTGAATTTAGTTAAACAAGGATTCTCCTCCTGGCCAGCATTTGTTGAGGATATGACTAATTATTTTTTTATCTTACAGCATTCCATGATTACTCCTCCTCAGGTCAGCAAGAACTGGATTTCAAGACTGATTAAACATCATACAGAGCTCCAAAGCTGCTATTCCAGACACTATAATCATGACCAGGTCAAATATGAAGATATAAAGATTATTCAAGGCTGATTTAAGATCTTGAGGAACACAATTGCTAAGCATGAAATTCTGTCAGAAGATATATACAACTTTGATGAGACTAACTTTGCAATAGGACTCTGTGCAACTACTAAGATTATTACTAGTAGTGAGTGCTATGGCCAGGCCAAGCTGCTATAGCCTAGAAATCAAGAATGAGTTACTGTGATTGAGTCAGTCAATATGTCAGTATGAGCTCTATCATTATATATTATTTTTAAAGATTGGAATTTGCTGAAGAAGTGATTTGAAAGTCTTTCTGCAGGCTAAAGACTTGATATCAGTTCTAATAACTAAACTACAGATGAAATATATATTAAATGATTTATATAAATATTTATTCCAAAAGTAAAGTCATATCAAATTAACTCTTATATTCTTCTCTTTTTAAATAAATACAGCAGTCATTTTATCCTAGAATTTAATCATATCTGCAAGGATGATGAAATCATTATACTCTGCATATCATTTCATTCATTATATTTTTTATAGTCACTAGATGTAAGTGTTTTTGCAGTTCTAAAGTAAGAATACAGAAGTTTAGTTTAATAGTAAATGCAGATTAAAATCAATATTATTAAGAAGCTTGACTTTTTAGATGTCTATTCTATAGTATATATAAAAGTCTTTAAAGCTTAGACTATTCAAAGTGATTTCAAAACTATTAAAATAATATTATTTCAGTCTGACTATATTATTTAGCAGCTGGATATTCAACTTCACACTTTTACATTATCATCATCTAGCAGATTTATTATATTATTCTAAGTGCTTCAAACATCTAGTAATCTGCAGCAATTGCAGAAGCAGATGAATAAGATTGAAAGTCTTATGAAGAAAATTAAGTAGTTTCAAGATTTAATAGAAGATTATGATCAAATTATCAAGACTTATAAATATAATATGATTAGTACTACTATTATGAGAAAGTAATATCAGAATATATTTAATGCAAATGAGATAGAGAAGCAAAAACAGAATAGATCTAAATATCATATTCAATATACAGGAGGTATAATTAGAAATTAAACTCAGAATCTTATTATTTCCTTTGCTACATCTGTTGAACAGAGAGCTATTCAACTCTGTGAGTTATCATCTTCTGAGTCTATATCATGTGTATAAGTTTTATCATGCTGCAGTAGTTGCAATACTCTTGAGCATACAAAATTAAAATATTCTCAATCATATATAATTTAATTTAATTTAATTGAGTATTGTGATATAGAGATACTTGAATTAGAATTTAGTCAGTTAAGATATGCTGATTTTGATAATTCACTTGATGTGATAGCTCATTTAATGTGAAATTATATTATTAATTATACTGCTATATAATTTATATTTTATATGAATGTGCCACATCAAAACAATAAAAATCTTGCAATTTCATCATCATTATCATTTTTATCAATTAATAACTCACTATAATACTAAATAAATATAAAAATATTGAAAACTGTATTCAAAAACTATTATTCATCATTAAAAAAACTTAAATTTTAAAATACTATCTCTGTTATGAAAATTTGAGATTTTTTATTAATGTCTTTGAGTATATATCAATGAAAGAAATATGAATATTATAAAGATTTTAATTAATAAGAGATTAAATAAAAGTTAGAAAAATGTGATTAAATGATAAATCAAGCTACTTGATGAAAAGAATTGTTCTTCTACAGCTAAATACATTGAAGATTTTATAAATTCAATAGCCAGATAGTAGTATATAAATTCTATTATCTTCTATTCAAAAATCAACAAGATGTAAACTTATAGATTTATTAAATATTTATCTGAATATAAAAGAGTGAAACAGAAGCTGATAAATTTAAAAAAAGTAACAGTTGAAGATATTGAGTATATCAATACATGATTTGAATGTCTTCAGATTCTATTTGAGTAATATCGATTTTATATCTATGATACATACAACTTCAATGAGATTAAATTTCAAGAAGAATAAAAATATAAAGAATGAGTTATAACTACTTTTAAAAAAGTTAATTTTATTATTTTTTTTATTCTTTTCAAAAGATTTGATTATAGTTATTAAATGTATATTCATGAATAATCATATCATTTTATTATTGATAATCTTGATCTTTAAATCATACTTAAAATATTAATATATATAAATAGATTTACTTAACAATTATAGAATTACTATATCAGATATTAAATTTATAAATAATATGATTAAAATTAAATGACTCAAATATTTTAATACTACTATAAAAAAAAGGCAGAAAAGAAGTTATCAATTACTTTTAATAAGTAATTATAAATCTCATATTATTGAAAAGTTTCTATAATATGTGAATCTTCATAAGATAATTCTATATAAATTTTCTTTATATGTCATTTATTTGCTACAATCTCTGAATAGTCTATCATTTCAGTTATATAAGTATTATTATTCAAAAGCAATCAACTATACTATATATCATAATCTTGTTAAATATGAAAAATAGCAGTATCTACAAAATCTCTCAGCTATGCAAAAGTAGATCTTTAAATTTGATATAATAGCTGCAAAATAAGCTCAATATGATATATATTCATGAAATTCTGACTGAGTTCTTAATACTCTTAAGCAGTAAATCTCATCACCTCCTTCACTGCAGATTTATAAAGTGGAGAATGATTCAGATTATATATCTCTCTTTTTTTCTCAGTTATTCTTATTAAAAATAATTCAAAAGCTGAAATATAATATTAATATTGCAGAAAATATCATACAAAGTATTAGATATACTTTTAAATTGAAATTATTCATCTTGACATGTTGTTTGAAGAAGATATTCAAAGTAAGTCTAACTTATGCAGAACTTAATAAGTAACAGATCACTGAATTAGAGAACTTTCTCAATATCAGTAAATATCACAGAGTTAAAACAACTCATCATCAGATTCAAGTAGAAGAAGTTCTCACTATTAAAGATGTCAATAGAAAAACCAAGTAGTGTAAGAATAATGAAGCTGAAAAAGAGCAGAATAAAGAGTAACAGAGACTTTAAGTCAATCTTATGAAAATTAACAATAACTCACTCACATCACTGACAGAAGAGGAATTAAATTGATTTAGAGATGACATATATACTGAAAATGATGTAGATAATCTTTTTATTATAGATTAGCTACTGATTGTTGATATAGAGTGCAATAATGAAGATGTGATTCAAGATTTTTATTGTGTCAGTGTTTTTATCATTTTGGTGTGGTGCACCCACACAAGTGTGGGTTGCGCAGCCGCACGATTACCACCCAACCTAGTCCGGTTCAGTCCGGTCCGTATAATAACCACACCAGAAGCTCCAGTCTAACCAGTGGGTAACCGAAGTGCTCGAGAGAGTGATAAAATTGTTCGATAATGACTCTTCCGAGTTACTTTCATTCCAGATTGATGCATTCAACTCGTATTATGATATACTTCGAGAAGATGAAATGTCGCTCGCGAAAAAATGACCAAAGCAGCGCCGCAATGAGAAGCAGAGAGAATGATACTTTGACAGATATTTTCGTCAGAATGGGTGCCGAGCCTTTCGTGCTATTCACTTTAGCCGTGCCAAGGTTGAGGCTGAATGCCACAGCACAAAACCAATTCTTCTGAAGCTTCGAAGTTGGTGGAAAGTCAACTTCTAAGCCGCAAGGGCTGACTTTGGTTTGTTAAAAATCTTTGCGAGGCCAAGTCAATTGAACCCTTGATGTTTTCCTACCGGAATCGTAAACTATCGGAGACTGACTACAGTGAGCAATTTGATCGCCCTCATATATTGATCATGGCTGATGAGACCAGAGAGTTCTCCAACTACATGCGAGAAAGCGCCAATTGGAGAACTCACAGCTCCTCCTGACCAATTGGGCAACCGGACTCTCCAAGCTTCCCCAGGAAAGCATTCTTCAAATTGTCAGTCAGCACTCATCGATTGCTAGAAAGGGTGATCTAATTAAATACAGTGTTGGCACATCCTCCACTGACCCATGGCGCTCGCGTTGCAAATCCCAGTTCCTCTTCTGCTTAACGAGCATCCACAGTCCGTCAGCTTGGATCTCAAAGTCAAGAATATTGTTGATTTCTTTCGACGAAACTGGAAAAATGATCATAGGATACGAATGGAATCCGTGTTCTCTGGGAATTCCCCGCCATATAATGAATTTGGATTCGCAGCTCCCGAGTTGAATGCGAAGATTGAATTCTCTCAGGATCTTGAATTTAACCACCTTGTTGACTTCCTTCAACGGTACCAAAATGATGACCGTACAATACGAATGGAATTTCCATTCTCTGGGAATCCCCTGCCATTTATGAATTCGAATTCGAATTCGGGACGTCCCCTGGGTTGAATGCAACGATTGAGTTTCCACATCAACTAGGGACAATTTTCATTCAATACGTTATGAGTCGCGGTTGAAAGTGTGCCATTAGCGATGGCGGAAAAATCGGACTGTAGGATTTCCCCTAAACATGCAGGTTTGGCCGTCCTTTATCATGACTCTATCAAACCCCCGCTTGTCGGGCCCCGTCACCACGTTTGGCACTGGTTGGGGTGTGCCAGCCCCAGTAACCCTGACAGCCCCCCAGCACTGTGTTTTGTGACCAGAACAGCGCAAATCGATTGATCTGTTGTCGTAAATGTCTCTGGGAAGGTCTCTTTTTGATCGAGGACGACATCCTTAGAAGTCTAAACGATTATTAGTTATGTGTGTTTCGAGTTCTTTTTAATTTGGAGTTTTAGACCAAATCGCGTGCTTTCTCTTCAAGTTTCTGATCGCTATGCGCAATGTTGTCAACTGGTGTAATCTGACTGCCTTCTGGCATCACCCTTGCTTTCGTATTAACCGAGTGGACGAAAAGTGAGAGTAGCCTAGAAACGAGAAATAACGGCAAAATATCAAGGATATGAGAACAGGTCTCAGAAATTCTTCTGAAAGCGTCGTGTTAGGGACAAAAGAGTCGAAAGACGGAATAAGCGGAGGAAGACCAAAAATCGGACATTCATTAAACAATTTAAATTCCACCCCTCCCACTTATGATGACGACAAAGAGGGGCAGCTATCGGCTCAACCTTTCTGCAGTGCTTGGTGTTCGGCGAACGGTCATATGATCGTAGCGTAGCCCGTTTGACACAACATTATTCTGCTGTCTGGAACCAACTGGTGATTATAAAAGGTTTCTCCTACTAATAATTTCTCTTCTCCTCAGGCCTAGACACTTATGATGACCGCCATATGCCTGGTGCAGTGACGCCCAACCCATCTTGCAAACCAGTATCCTGAGTATTGGCCGGGAAATTATTTTGCTGAATTTGCACTCATTTGTGGCATAGAAAGGCAACCAGACCTAGCACACTTTGAAACATATGCTAGATACCGATGCAAAGCACAATCAGATAACTGCGAGCCCTCGCATAGGTTTCCCATCTATCAAATCCCTTCCCCAACTGACACTCCCTGAATGCCCTGAATCAGATCATCTTTATGGGTGCCGAAACCAAGAGCTACATGAAGATTCCGGCTCCAAGAGGTGTTTTATGGGCTCCCAGACGCGACTTTCACAGGTACCGAAACACAAAGTGATCACACAATTTTCATGGCAAGTCCATAGCAAAAGGATCCAGACGACTACACATTATATGATGATATTTCGAAGATCCCGCAACCTGACTCCAAAGCCCATGAGAGTGACGGCTTCCCCAACCAGCAACAGAATCGTAACAACGCCATAGCCGCACAGATGTATCAGACGGAGAACATAAGAACGGAGACAGGGATGATCAGGAAGTTGCGTAGAGAAGCCCTAGCCTAACTGTAGGTAAAAGCTTACTGGTTGCTTTAGGCGAACTAGAAGGGAAAAAGCTGTAAGATTATGAAACATATCGCTTTATTTTTATATAGATTTAAAAAGGCCCACATCCCGGTGGGAAGTTTCGAGAGTTATGCGAAGAAACTCCGATCATTATTATGCTATTCTTGTGACATTGATCAACCCCAAATAAGAAAAGCTGCCCTGGTGCAGATTATGGCTTCCCTCTGTGCATGACGAGCCCTATTTATCATCAATTCGGACATCCAGTAGTCATATTACCCGCTGCATCACCTTGGAACAATGGAGCCAACTCTCGGCTTCTTCGCGCGTCTACTAAGAATCTGAGACCTCTCCTCCCCCTTCTTCGGTTGCATCCATGAAGCTCCATTGCGCGTCTTGATACTCTGTTTCGTCAGACAATGTCGATGCATCAGAGTCGTCTAAGGTAAGGGCTGCTTCGGAAGCCATCTGGCACTGAGATGTAGCATGGAGAAGCTGAGATTGAGCCTTTGAGTGTGTTTCATTTGCAGCCCTAATAAATTTGTCCCTTTTTCCCTTTGCCCAGTCCTGAGCGTTTTGGTATGCAGATGCTCCCTGCCAAAGGTTTCCAGGTCACTGGTCATCGACCAGCCCTTGAGCTGGGTCATAATATACTCAGGGCGACGGCCTGGCCCTTCAGACTCGGTGAGATGGGTTGTGTATAGCTTGAGTGTACCACCATGATAAATTGACCCAGTGGGGGTTCTCACTAGGGCTCTTTGAATGGTACGATGTAAGCACTGTTGTCGTAAGTTGATCTGTCTTGTTGGTATGACTGGAGAGTGTGCATACCCCGAGCTCCTAGTTCGCTGTCATAACAAGCCTGCCGTGTAGCCACAGCCAAGGATCCATCAGGGCCTTTTGCTTCCAAGAAGAAGTTTGGTGCTATTGGAAGATCATCCTGTGTTGATGGAATGATATGGTCGCTAAGTTCATTGCGGATTTGACGCTCAAGCTGTCCAGGACGCGCGCCATAGAAGTGATCTGGCTTGGTCTGAGCCAGTGTGTCATCAGTTAAGGGGGCAAGATTTCCAAGCGGGTATCCCCTTCCAGCGCATTTGGGATCATCTACATCACCTTTTGATGATAGGAATCACTGGCATTGTGACCGGTTGTTCTTTAGATGCGTGGGTATTTGCTCATTTGAATTTCCGGAAATGTTCATCAGAGAACTTTGATGGGGATAAGGGAGGGTCAGGGTCAAGCTAATGTTTCATTGATCTCTCCCCAGTTATTTGGCATTGCTGGTGTTCGACCATCAGGATGTTCATATCCGTCAGGGTAAATGCCATGATCAATTAGATTCTGCTGGAAGTTACGATTTTAGGGTGTGATGCTCATGGACTTGGTGGCACACCTCATATCTGCGCTTGTTGGTGGAGGAGAACCTGCACGTCGTTTTCTGCTCCGAGACCTTGATCTCATAACTTTTTCAAGGAAATTTTCTGGTTTGGAATACTGGGCTATATTATCAGCAATGATGTATTTGCATGGATTTGTAGTTATGTACATTTCTAAGGTCATTTAGGTCAGATCCTCCCAATCTGGAAACCCTCTTTATCTGCTTCGAACAAGCTGGTGCACAATCATGGAGAAAGGCCGGAACAAACTGAATAGGATTACTGCGCTTCTTCACCTCAGCACGAAATTGTCGAGTGATAGGTCTAGGATGGTTCTGGGGTGGTTTTGAGCGGCAGTTTCTTCAATCCAACTCCTCTAATGCATCTTTGATTAACCAAATCTTTGACAGGTTACCCCAATTATGCTGATGCCGACGCGTTGAGTTTCTGCCTCATTCTGAAATCGCGACCTGTCGGATTGATGGGGCTCAGGATACTAACCCTTGCGAGACAGGTTGGAGGTCACTGAACTAGGCATATGGTCATAACCATAAATTTTTAGCTCTTTTATCATGCCAGTATGCATCGAGGTCAGGGAAGGGGGCAGAGGTTCTTATAATTAACTGCTGCACAGGATCCCAGAATGCATTTCAGGTGCTTATCTGAAAATGATTGCTGCCGAGGGCCAACCGTTGGTCGCTGGAAGCCAAGCAGCGAAACATGTTGGGTGATAACTAGCGGCCTGAGTCCCGAATAGGTGCTACATGACAATCACATGATATAGAGGCACATTTCTTACCCGGATAACCTGGGAGGAGGAACGGCGCTGCAATTCCTGTCCCACCTGTAATGGAGCGACTTTAACAAAAGAAGAGGAACTGCAGAATAGACCACTCCTAGCTCTCCTCTGTTGATATCATACACTCCCCCGTTATACATCCATTTACCATAACAGATACGCAATGGATACAAAAGAAAACATGCTCGCAGTAGTCTTCAAGGGCCCTTATAAGATTGTCGTGGAAGAGCGCCTTGTTCCCAAGATCCAGGGGCCGACAGATATTATTGTCAAGGTTAAGTATACGGCGCTTTGCGGGAGGTATGTATTTATATCATCCTGTGGGTTTTATGTTATATGTGCTCGTTGTTTTCGCCCCTCTTTTACGGTTAATCCATCTCGTCCGTGTCGATGGTGCTGCGAGGAGGGCATTTGACACTACGTAGTTCTCCCCAGTTAGTTACCAGTTTTGATTTTGCTATATGCTTCGTGTATGCTTTGTTGACTGAGAAACATTCAAACATATCATCGGATATCAAATCCGCTGATGTTCCGGTATTAATCTAGTGAACTCCATGTTTTCCGTGGCCATCAGCCATCTGGCACAGGCTTCATCATGGGCCACGAGTTTACCGGTGAAATAGTGGAAATCGGGAGCTCTGTTAAGACTCTGAAGCCTGGGGATAAGATCGTCTGCCCGTTTACGACAAGCTGGTACGTGACCACTTTGTCGTTAAAAAAATACAAACACACACATGGACGCGAGTATTGCGGGCAAGAATGTTAACGAAGCCGGGTAACTGATTGGTAATAAGATAAAAACGAAACAGCTCAGAATGTTTCTACTGCAAGAATGGCTTTTCATCTCGCTGTGAGAAATCCTTGCTACTTGGCTGTGCCATGCTGGATGGCGCTCAGGCGGAATATGTAAGTTTTCTCCGCTGTTCAGTCAAAGAAGGACACAAATGAAGTGAACCCACTGCAAAGTAAAGCCAGGTTGATTAATTGGAGGATGCTTGCTACCAATGTCCATCTGGAAACTAGGTGCGCATCCCTAACGCCGATGGAACCGTCTTCAAAGCACCAGAGGGTATCAGCGAAAAAGCGCTCGTCCTCATGGCCGACATCTTCCCTACGGGATATTTCGCAGCCAGCAACGGCCTCAGTCAATTCACCAAGGAGCAGCTATCAGAGATGACGGTGGTGGTGATTGGCTGTGGGCCGGTGGGTCTCTGCGCACTCGTAAACGCCGCAGAGTACAAACCGAAAAACCTTCTGGCCGTTGACTCGGTTCTCTCACGGCTCGAGCTTGCCAAGTCGCTGGGCGCGGAACCGTGGAATTTCCAAACGGACCGGGAGGGGTTAGATAGGCGTGTTAAAGAGTTGACGAATGGTAGGGGTGCAGATGTGGTGATTGAAGTTGTTGGATTGAGTCCTGCGTTGAAGATGGGGTTTGAGCTTCTCAGACCTTGGGGAATCATTAGCAGCGTGGGTGTTCATAATGGAGAGGTAAGTTGGCGCCCGAGTATATCTCTATATTATCTTTGTGGAAGATGATATGATATCATTTGGGAAATTGATCTGACATTGGACGCAAATAGATACCGTGGACGGGCAACCAGGCGTATGGGAAAAACCTGAAAATCCAGATGGGACGGTGTCCCATACGATCTATTTTCCCGCAGGCGCTTGAAATGCTGAAGAAGACGCAGCATTTGCTGGGGTAGGAAAATTCTCCTTTGTCCCTCCTTCCTCTCTGTTTTCCCAACTTAACTGTTCCGCGGAAGGGTAAATCTAACACCACCAATTTGTCCAGATTCATGGCAGATACGATCATGCCATTGAGCCAAGCGGAGAAGGGATACGACATTTTCGACAAGATGAAAGTGCAGAAGGTCATCTTTGAAGCCGATAAATAAGCCGGGTGGAGGCATGAGGCCAAGTGGATGGAAGGTAGCAAAATGGATGATGACATGAAAGAAGAATATATTTGTCTCACCCAACACCATTGGGGGCTAAAAAAACGCTGAAGAAACCAATGATTCTGCTTAAAAATTCTCCGGAGAGGGACTGCCTGAGATTTATCCCATAGTTTAGTAAAACTATAGGTGAAACAAAGGCGTATATAGAATTTTCAACAAAGCCAGATAAGATACATAATGGATTTGGTAAAAGTAATGGAGAATTCCCTGTGAATAATAAGGAGAAGAAGGGCTTCCTGAAAGCGGAGACCCTGTAGAGGAAGTAAATGTCAAAACTCAAGGTTCAGCAGGAATAGAGGAGCTCATTGTATTGATTATTAATTTGGAATTGTCCATTTTTAATTCTTCATGCCAGCGTTAGTGATGAAACATAATGGCAGAATATTAAAGTGGTGTCTGTGTCTGTGTCTGTGTCTGTGTCTGCCTGTATCTGCCTGTGTCTGCCTGTGTCTGCCTATGTCTGCCTGTGCCTGCTTGTATCTGCCTGTGTCTGCCTGTGTCTGCCTGTGGTTGTTCTGTCTGTCTGTTTGTCTGCTTGTTTGTTGTTTCTGCTTCTTCGCTTGAGCATGAGTGGTTCAAATTGCGCAAGTGGAGAAACTGGCCCACCGAAGCTTACCACCTGCGCCACCCCAGCTCCAACGGC